AATCAAAAACTATAAAACGTTTATGATTTCTATCTTTCAATCTTTTGACATTACAAAGGTAGGGAAAGAAAGAGCTTTAAAAATTTACATTTTTATTTCCCTCAGTGCAAATTGATAACATTTGGTATTTGTACTTTCATTTGTGCTAGTCTTGAAACATTGTGAAGTTGTCATGAAACATTAAATTTTCAACATAGTGGAATGATTGTTTTTACTAAAAATAAATGTACCTAGTTGATGAATTCCTAGTACAGCAAGGCTTTTTCCAAATATGAGCAACATATCATTATAAAAATAAGCTTAAAAAACATATTGCACAATTGAAAAAAAAAAAAATCACAAAACAGATATAATCTCTTTTACATTTATTTCTATTTTTTTAATGTCAATGTAACACAAGATAAATTTATGTATTGTTTTTTCCTGCCTTTGCTTAACATCCCCTAACCACCCGGTCAGAGCAAAGGCAGTTAAATTTGAAGGGTATATATTCAAAAGTGTACACTTCAATTCAATTTCAAAGTATCACCAGTTTGTGATTTTTTTTTAATTTTTTTTATTTACGGCAAATATTTAATAGTATTCCACGTTTGCAGTCTTGCAAGAATATAATTTTATATTTTTACCCTCTCTTATTATACAGACACTTCTTCAAAATTGAAAATATAAACTGCAATGTAACACATTCTAGCTAATTATTTGCTCAACTACTGGGAACAGCCAAATTTTCTAACATCAAACGCATTCAATCCTTTCAGTCTAAAGTCCTCCGTACAATAGTCAATGCTCCCTTCTATGTAACCAATAAAACCCTACATCATGACCTTAATATCCCATTTATTCTTGATCTTATCCCAGCCAAATTTTCCAAATTTCACCAGAACCTTTCTCATCACCCAAATCCCGTTGTACAATCCCTATCAAGCACCACCCATCCCTACAATCCCCTTCGTAGGTTAAAGCGGCAGTGGCCACGAGACCTTTTGTAAATCTGGATATTTTGGAGTTCTAGCAATGGCCAGATTCTCCACTCAAGTCATGAGTGTCTGTGGCTGTAGCGCTCTTACTCATCCTCCGCTGGTTTAAAATACCAGTGAAGTGGCTGAGGGAGAAGCGTAGGGATCTCCTAGGCCTCCCTTTTCCCTCCATATGTGGAGGGGACAGGATTGGTTCGGAGATCACCTGTCAAATTGTAAATAATGTATGTTTTATATAAGGTGTTTATTTTACTTTTATTTCTATTTTTATTTACTTATGTGTATATATATTATTTTTTTTTCTTTACTCTTTTGTTCTTTCTTCTTATTCTTTTGTTATTACTTTATTTATTTATATTTTTGTAAAAACGGTATGAATGCAATCTCTGAACTCTATTATAAGTGTCCTTAACTGTGACAAATTGTAATATTTCTGAATAAAGTGTTTTTAATAATAAAAAAAAAAAAAAGTTTACATTTTTATTTATTTTTATTGTGAGGATTCATAGTTAGATGTTCGTCCAGGTGGAGTCCTAGGTATCGGCTTTGATGAACAGAGATAAGTGGTGTATTATTAGAGGATGCTGTAGGACAGGAAGTAGTTGGTTTAGGAGGAGATGTAAATGTGTTTCGATGGGATTTCGAGACTGGGAGCAAATGGCTGGATCTATTTTTAAATTTCATGGCTTAAATTATTGGCTGAGATCTTCTGAGTGTTTTGAAAAAAATTGAGCTAAAAATACTGACCGTTGATATAATTTAATTACTCCAGTATAAAAAATTGAAGAAATAATATATAAACCCACTCTGAAAAAGCGTCACATAAGCGTCAAAGGTTCAATGGTGAAGGGTTAGGAGATCAGAAGCTCCTAGGCGCTAAGGCTCACTGTCAGATCAATGGCGTTAGCTCAACTGGAATGCAACTTCTCGCCAATTGATGTGTTTATAGTCTTATTATCAAGCGTGACTTTTAGAATCAATATTCAAATGTTTCATACATAGTATGAGCATAATATACGCTCATATTTTAAGCTTAAGTTTAATATCATTAAATTAGATATGTGCTATAAATCATCAACTTCAATCAAAAATATTGGACACACATCCCGGCCTTCGGTCCGATTTGTCTTGGAGTCGAGAAAAAAATATTTTACATCATTTCAAGAGAAATTTATGTATTGTTTTTTTCCTACCTTTGGTTAACCACCCCGTAACCACCCGGGCAAAAAGCAAACCAGGAAAAAAACAATACATAAATTTCTCTTGAATGATATAAAATATCTTTTTATCGGCTCCAAGACCCATCGGACCGAAGGCTGGGACGTGTCTCCAATATTTTTTATATACATATAATGTAATAGTCAATTACTAAGATATTTGTTATTTAATGAGTATGAGCTGTTGTGTGGAAAACATATTTTTAGGTAGATTTAATGAAACATCGACAAAGTTGATGATTTATAGCATATATTTATTTTAATAATATTAAACTTAAAATTAAAATATGTTCGTATATTATTCTCATACTATGTATGAAACATTTAAATATTAACTATAAAAATCAGGCTAGATAATAAGACTATAAACGTATAAATTGGCGAGAAGTTGCATTCAAGTTAAGCTAGGATCATAGCTCAGACAGGGAGCCTTAGCGCCTAGGAGCTTCTGTTCTCCTGATCCTACACCTTTATACCTTTGACGCTTATGTGACGCTTCTTCAGAATGTGTTTATTTATTATTTCTTCAATTTTTCAATTTGTTTTATTTTTTTCTATGAGAGTAATTAACTTGTATAAGTAAGTTACTTTGTTGGGCATGCAGTTCCTTACTGATTTATCTAATTAAATTGTTTAGCTGAATAAATACATAAATAATGAGGCATAATAAAGATAAAAAAAAAACCTCCTTACTACAGGAACATGATTTGAATGTATTTTCATCTCTGACCACTGTTTCCAAAATTAATTGTATTTTATGATAACAATTGATGTTTGTCATAATGTAGTAGTACGTTTCATTTCCATAATACAATAATCCATAAATTAGTGCAATTATGAAAAAATAATAAAACATGAAATATTTAGTGGAAGAATACCCAGGGAATTTTTTTGTACAGTGCCCATGTTAAGCAGATGGCTGCCCTGTGTTTGAAAGTAGAGAGTTCTTAGCGACATAGAGTAATTTTCATATTACCTCTTAATTATGAAATTTACAATTTTATTTTCCTCAACATATTGCACAGCTAAAAATAAAAATCACCAAACAGATATTATCTGTTGCTCATTATTTATTATGTTTACCTCGAGTGAAAAAAGAATGTTTATTTCAGTTAAACTTGAAGGGTATACATTCAAAAGTGTACACTTATTCATTTTTTTAATATCATTGAAAATATATTAAACATTTGCACATAAACTTCACCAGTTTGTGTTTTTTTTTTTTTTTTTTTTTATTTACTCACATACTTAATAGTATTCTACGTTTGCAGTCTTGCAAGAATATAATTTTATATTTTTACCCTCTCTTATTAAACAGACACTTCTTCAAAATTGAAAATATAAACTGCAATGTAACACATTCTAGCTAATTATTTGCGTATATTCTCCTGGAAGTTTATTTTCAGGATCCAGGCATCTTTTTGTAAAGTGTTTATGAATTCTATCTTTAAATCTTGCGACATTTGTACATTGCATCACTCTGCACTATGAGTGAAAGCTGATAATGATTTATACATTTCTTTTGTAAATGATATGATCAATATATATTCTATCTTTAACAATTTAATTGATTAATTTCATTGACTAGAACCCATCTCTTCCCATTCACATACAGTCAACTGAACCTGATAGCTGGTGTACATCTGGCACATGCGCTTACCGCATTCTCCCCCTAACTAGTTGATTCAATTCAATTTCAAAGTATCACCTCCAATTCAAAGGCAGTAGGAATACCATCAGTCATTGGAGGATTAAAGGTAGGGAAAGGAATAGCTTTATAATTTTATTTCCCTCAGTGCAAATTAATAATATTTGGTATTTGAATAATATTTTCCTTTTAAGCTAGTCTTGGAACATTGTCAGGTTGCCATAAAACCAAAAATCTTCAACATAGTGGAAAGAATCTACCTAGTTGATTAATACCTAGTACAGCAAGGCTTTTTCTAAATATGAGCAGCATATCATTATAAAAATAAGCTTATATATCATATTGCACATCTAAAAAAAAATCACCATCAGATATTATCTGTTGCTCGTTATTTATTATGTTTACCTCGAGTGAAAAAAGAATGTCTATTTCAGGTCAACTTTAGGGGTATACATTCAAAAGTGTACACTTATTTATTTTTTTAATATGATTGAAAATATATTAAATATTTGCACACAAACTTCACCAGTTTGTGTTTTCTATTTTTAATTTTTTTTTATTTACGGCACATAGTTAATAGTATTCCACGTTTGCAGTCTTGCAAGAATATAATTTTATATTTTTACCCTCTCTTATTAAACAGACACTTCTTTTTTGTAAAGTATTTATGAATTCTATCGTTAAATCTTGCGACATTTGTACATTGCATCACTCTGCACTATGAGTGGAAGGTGATAATGATTTATACATTTTTTTTGTAAATGATATGATCAATATATATTCTATCTTTAACAATTTAACAGATTCCTCTGATTAATTTTTTTGGCTAGAACCCATCTCTTCCCATTCACATACAGTCAATTGAACCTGATAGCTGGTCTACACCTGGCACATGCGCTTCCCGCATTCTCCCTCTAACTAGTTGATTCAATTCAATTTAAAAGTATCACCTCCATGTCAAAGGCAGTAGGAATACCATCAGTCATTGGTGGATCAAAGGTAGGGAAAGGAATGGATTTAAACATTTATAATTTTATTTCCCTCAGTGCAAATTAATAATATTTGGTATTTGACTAATTTTTTCCTTTTAAGCTAGTCTTGGAACATTGTGAGGTTGTCATAAAACCTAAAATCTTCAACATAGTGGAAAGAATTTACCTAGTTGATTAATACCTAGTACAGCAAGGCTTTTTCTAAATATGAGCAGCATATCATTATAAAAATAAGCTTATATATCATATTGCACATCTAAAAAAAAATTCACCAAACAGATATTATCTGTTGCTCAATATTTATTATGTTTACCTCTAGTGAACAAAAAAAATGTTTATTCCAGTTAAATTTGAAGGATATACATTCAAAAGTGTACACTTTTTTATTTTTTTAATATGTTTGAAAATATATTAAACATTTGCACACAAACTTCACCAGTTTGTGTTTTTTTTATTTTTTTTATTTACAGTACATATTTAATAGTATTCCTAGTTTGCAGTCCTGCAAGAATATAATTTTATATCTTTACCCTCTCTTATTAAAAAGACACTTCTTCAAAATTGAAAATATAAACTGCAATGTAACACATTCTAGCTTATTATTAGCTTATATTCTTATGTATGTTTATTTTCAGGATCCAGGTATTTTTTTGTAAAATGTTTATGAATTCCATCTTTAAAAAAAAATCACCAAACAGATATTATCTGTTGCTCATTATTTATTATGTTTACCTCGAGTGAAAAAAGAATGTTTATTTCAGTTAAACTTGAAGGGTATACATTCAAAAGTGTACACTTATTTATTTTTTTAATATGATTGAATATACATTAAACATTATTATTTGTATTGCTCATAATTTTCTGACTACTTCTTTCTAATTATTCAATGTTTCTGCACACAAACTGCACCAGTTTCTGTATTTTTTTTAATTTACGGTATATATTTCAAATTATTCCTATTGCGCAGTCTTACAAGAATATAATTTTATATATATACGCTCTCTTATAAAACGACACTTCTTCAAAATTGAAATTATAAATTGCAATCTAACACATTCAAGTTAATTATTTGCTTATAATCTCCAGTAAATTTGTTTGCAGGATCCAAGAACTTTTTTTTAATTTTTATATTTATTTATTTTAGAAATATAACATTCTGTCAAGTGGACAATAATTATAGTGATTTATGAACACATTAATACCACATATACAGAAAATATAAAATTAACAAACGTAAAATAATCAAAAACTATAAAACGTTTATGATTTCTATCTTTAAATCTTTCGACATTACAAAGGTAGGGAAAGAAAGAGCTTTAAAAATTTACATTTTTATTTCCCTCAGTGCAAATTGATAACATTTGGTATATGTACTTTCATTTGTGCTAGTCTTGAAACATTGTGAGGTTGTAGTAAAACCTAAAATTTTTAACATAGTGAAAAGGTTGTTTTTACTAAAAATAAATGTACCTAGTTGATGAATTCCTAGTACAGCAAGGCTTTTTCCAAATATGAGCAACATATCATTATAAAAATAAGCTTAAAGAACATATTGCACAATTGAAAAAAAAAATCACAAAACAGATATAATCTCTTTTACATTTCTTTCTATCTTTTTAATGTCAATGTAACACAAGATAAATTTATGTATTGTTTTTTTCTGCCTTTGCTTAACATCCCCTAACCACCCGGTCAGAGCAAAGGCAGTTAAATTTGAAGGGTATATATTCAAAAGTGTACACTTATTTATTTTTTTTAATATGATTGAAAATATATTAAACATTTGCACACAAACTTCACCAGCAAGAATATAATTTTATATTTTTACCCTCTCTTATTATACAGACACTTCTTCAAAATTGAAAATATAAACTGCAATGTAACACATTCTAGCTAATTATTTGCTTATATTCTCCTGGAAGTTTATTTTCAGGATCCAGGCATCTTTTTGTAAAGTGTTTATAAATTCTACCTTTAAATCTTGCGAAATTTGTACATTGCATCACTCTGCACTATGAGTGGAAGGTGGTAATGATTTTTACATTTTTTTTGTATATGATATGATCAATATATATTCTAACTTCTACAATTTAACAGATTCCTCTGATTAATTTTTTTGACTAGAACCCATCTCTTCCCATTCACATACAGTCAACTGAACCTGATAGCTGTGTACATCTGGCACATGCGCTTCCCGCATTCTCCACCTAACTAGTTGATTCAATTCAATTTCAATGTTTATTTTCATGATCCAGGTATTTTTTTGTAAAATGTTTATGAATTCCATCTTTAAATCTTGCAAAATTTGTACATTGCATCACTCTGCACTATGAGTGGAAGGTGATAATGATTTGTACATTATTTTTTAAAATGATATGATGAATATATATTTTATCTTTAACAATTTAACAGATTCTTCTGATTAATATTTTTTTACTAGAACCCATCTGATCCCATTCACATACAGTCAATTGAACCTGATAGCTGGTGTACATCTGGCACAGGTGCTTCCCACATTCTCCCCCTAACTAGTTCATTCAATTCAATTTCAATGTTTATTTTCATGATCCAGGTATTTTTTTGTAAAATGTTTATGAATTCCATCTTTAAATCTTGCAAAATTTGTACATTGCATCACTCTGCACTATGAGTGGAAGGTGATAATGATTTGTACATTATTTTTTAAAATGATATGATGAATATATATTTTATCTTTAACAATTTAACAGATTCTTCTGATTAATTTTTTTTTACTAGAACCCATCTGATCCCATTCACATACAGTCTATTGAACCTGATAGCTGGTGTACATCTGGCACAGGTGCTTCCCACATTCTCCCCCTAACTAGTTCATTCAATTCAATTTCAATGTATCAACTCCATATTAAAGGGACTTGGGATACCCTCAGTCATTGGTGGATCAAAGGAAGGGAAAGGAAGAGCTTTAAAAGTTTACATTTTTATTTATTTTTATTGTGAGGATTCATAGTTAGATGTTCGTCCAGGTGGAGTCCTAGGTATCGGCTTTGATGAACAGAGATAAGTGGTGTATTATTAGAGGATGCTGTAGGACAGGAAGTAGTTGGTTTAGGAGGAGATGTAAATGTGTTTTGATGGGATTTCGAGACTGGGAGCAAATGGCTTTATCTATTTTTAAATTTCATGGCTTAAATTATTGGCTGAGATCTTCTGAGTGTTTTGAAAAAAATTGAGCTAAAAATACTGACCTTTGATATAATTTAATTACTCCAGTATAAAAAATTAAACAAATAAAAAATTGAAGAAATAATATATAAACCCACTCTAAAAAGCGTCACATAAGCGTCAAAGGTTCAATGGTGAAGGGTTAGGAGATCAGAAGCTCCTAGGCGCTAAGGCTCACTGTCAGATCATTGGCGTTAGCTCAACTAGAATGCAACTTGATGTGTTTATAGTTTATAGCCAATTGATGTGTTTATAGTCTTATTATCGAGCGTGACTTTTAGAATCAATATTCAAATGTTTCATACATAGTATGAGCATAATATACGCTCATATTTTAAGCTTAAGTTTAATATCATTAAATTAGATATGTGCTATAAATCATCAACTTCAATCAAAAATATTGGACACACATCCCGGCCTTCGATCCGATTTGTCTTGGAGTCGAGAAAAAAATATTTTATATCATTTCAAGAGAAATTTATTTATTGTTTTTTTCCTACCTTTGGTTAACCACCCCGTAACCACCCGGGCAAAAAGCAAACCAGGAAAAAAACAATACATAAATTTCTCTTGAATGATATAAAATATTTTTTTATCGGCTCCAAGACCCATCGGACCGAAGGCTGGGACGTGTCTCCAATATTTTTTATATACATATAATGTAATAGTCAATTACTAAGATATTTGTTATTTAATGAGTATGAGCTGTTGTGTGGAAAACATATTTTTAGGTAGATTTAATGAAACATCGACAAAGTTGATGATTTATAGCATATATTTATTTTAATAATATTAAACTTAAAATTAAAATATGTTCGTATATTATTCTCATACTATGTATGAAACATTTAAATATTAACTATAAAAATCAGGCTAGATAATAAGACTATAAACGTATAAATTGGCGAGAAGTTGCATTCAAGTTAAGCTAGGATCATAGCTCAGACAGGGAGCCTTAGCGCCTAGGAGCTTCTGTTCTCCTGATCCTACACCTTTATACCTTTGACGCTTATGTGACGCTTCTTCAGAATGTGTTTATTTATTATTTCTTCAATTTTTCAATTTGTTTTATTTTTTTCTATGAGAGTAATTAACTTGTATAAGTAAGTTACTTTGTTGGGCATGCAGTTCCTTACTGATTTATCTAATTAAATTGTTTAGCTGAATAAATACATAAATAATGAGGCATAATAAAGATAAAAAAAAAATCTCCTTACTACAGGAACATGATTTGAATGTATTTTCATCTCTGACCACTGTTTCCAAAATTAATTGTATTTTATGATAACAATTGATGTTTGTCATAATGTAGTAGTACGTTTCATTTCCATAATACAATAATCCATAAATTAGTGCAATTATGAAAAAATAATAAAACATGAAATATTTAGTGGAAGAATACCCAGGGAATTTTTTTGGACAGTGCCCATGTTAAGCAGATGGCTGCCCTGTGTTTGAAAGTAGAGAGTTCTTAGCGACATAGAGTAATTTTCATATTACCTCTTAATTATGAAATTTACAATTTTATTTTCCTCAACATATTGCACAGCTAAAAATAAAAATCACCAAACAGATATTATCTGTTGCTCATTATTTATTATGTTTACCTCGAGTGAAAAAAGAATGTTTATTTCAGTTAAACTTGAAGGGTATACATTCAAAAGTGTACACTTATTTATTTTTTTAATATCATTGAAAATATATTAAACATTTGCACACAAACTTCACCAGTTTGTGTTTTTTTTTTATTTATTTTTTTTTTTTTTTATGGCACATACTTAATAGTATTCCAAGTTTGCAGTCTTGCAAGAATATAATTTTATATTTTTACCCTCTCTTATTAAACAGACACTTCTTCAAAATTGAAAATATAAACTGCAATGTAACACATTCTAGCTAATTATTTGCGTATATTCTCCTGGAAGTTTATTTTCAGGATCCAGGCATCTTTTTGTAAAGTATTTATGAATTCTATCTTTAAATCTTGCGACATTTGTACATTGCATCACTCTGC